GCTGGAGGGCAGTGGCGCGTTCTTGGCTCACTGCAACCTCCTCCTCCTGGATTCAAGCGGTTCTCCTGCCTCAGCCTCCCGAGTAGCTGGGACTACAGGTGTGCGTCACGACATCCGGCTGCTTTTTGTATTTCTAGTAGAGACGGAGTTTCACCATGTTGGCGTGGGTGGTCTCGAACGCCTGACCTCAAGTGATGCACGGTGCCGGGCGCGCTCCTGGCCCCTCGCCCGTGTTCTTAATGGGAGAGGTGTTGATTTGATGTTTCACTGACTGTTGAATCCCAGTTCGCCCAGGTTGTCTCCTCAGGCATTCATTCCACAAGTATTTATCAAGGACGCTGTAGACTGTTCTTGGCTATAGTGACGCCTTTCTGGTCTAGGAGTATAGCTGTGAATAAAAACATCGTCCTGTTCTGGAGATCAATTTTAGAAAAAAGAAAATTTAAAAAGATAATTTCAGATAGTTCCGTAAAAACAATTAGCAGTGGATGGCCTGGCGCAGTAGCTCACGCCTGTACTCCCAGCACTTTTGGAGGCTGAGGCGGGAGGATCACTTGAGATTGGGAGTTCAAGACCAGCCTGACCAACATGGTGAAACCCCATCTTTACTAAAAATAGAAAAATTAGTTGGGTGTCATGGTGCACACCTGTAATCCCAGATACTCAGGAGGCTGAGGCAGGAGAATCATTTGAACCTGCAAGGCAGAGGCTGCAGTGAGCAGAAATCACACCACTGCACTCCAGTGTGGGCGACCAAGCAAGACTGCATCTAAAAAAAAGGAAAAAAAAAAATTAGCAGTGGAGAGTGGGGAAGTAACTTTTGGTTGTGTGGTCAGGATAAGTCTGAGGAGAAACCATTTAAGCTAACACCTGAATGACAAGAAGTCACTGGAGAGAACATGTGCAGGAAGACCCTTCTAGGCAGTCGTAACTGCAGGCACAATGGTCCTTTTCCAAAGAGATTATTTAACTAAGAGACTAGTGTAGCTGGAGCTCAGAAAATCAAGGAGAGGGAAGCGGGGGCCACGCAACACGGGGCCTTGTAGACCATGGTGAAGGCTTTAGATGGTCCAGTAACTACACAAAGAAACAAATCCGACTCCTGTTTCATGATCCTGATTCTGTTCCTACGGCCTTAATTCAGTTATTTTTCTCTTTCTAAACGACTCCTAATCCTTCCTCTTTATCTTTGTTTTACTATCATTTTCAGTATATTTTTAAATACAGTTAACTATATTTCTTTTCAGAAGTAGACAAGGATAATTTTTCAGTTTTCAACAAATAAGTCACAGCCAGGACTCTTGTAGGAAGATACTTCTTTGTCCCTGGAATTCCCAAAGTTGTAAAGGAAACAGATAAGACTACAGGCTTGTGTCTTAAACACAGACACCCAAGGTCTGTGTGTGCCTTCCTAGAAGATACACTGTTAAGGGACATTAAAGTATGCAGGTTGTACCCTGCATTGTTTAAAAATCATGTTTGCAGACCGCGCGTTGGCCCACACCTTAATCCCAGCACTTTGGGAGGCCGAGGCGGGCAGATCACTTGAGGTCAGAAGTTTGAGACCAGCCTGGGCAACATGGTGAAACCCTGTCTCTACTAAAGACACAAAAATTAGCCAGGTGTGGTGGTGCACGCCTGTAGTCCCAGCTACTTGGGAGGCTGAGGCAGGAGAATCACTTGAACCAGGCTGGGGAGGTTGCAGTGAGCTGAGGTCGCACCACTGCACTCCAGCCTGGGTGACACAGTGAGACTCTTATCTCGAATGAAAAAAATAAATAAATATCAATGTTTGTTTGCTTTTTTGTTCTGTATTTGAAGAGAGAGAGAGATGCTCACCGGTGTCCCCAAATAAAGTAGCAGAGGTGAGATCAGCTGTGAACATTGGCTCACAACTTCTGCCCAGAGGAAAATAATAAAAGAGCTCAGAATCTTCCTTCCTTATTCCTTCAGCCGCTAAGTCATTCCTCTGCAGATTATATCCCTTGCCTATTGATGAGGGAGCCACACTGGATTTGGGGCTCAGGACCTTATAGACAGTTGAGGAATCTCACCTTCAGGCATGGGCAGGAGAAGTGAGGGAGGAAAGAGCTCTTTGTTCACAGGCAGTGCATAAAAGGACTGAGAGACAGCAATCCACTGCACCGCTAGCTCTTAGCATGTCCTGGGGACTCACAGATCCAACTGCTTATTCAATATCTCCTTTGGACTCTCATCTTTATCTTAATATTAACAGATTGAGAATAGATTTCCAGAATTCCTGAGCTTTCTTCTTTCCCTGTCGCAGTCTTGACCATCTCAGCTAATAGTAACTTTGTCTTTTAGTTCCCTGGTAAAAACCTTGGTTTCATCTTTGGTTCTTTTCTTGATCTAACACCCAACATGTAATCCATCTAGAAACCCCGTGAGTTCCCTCTTAAAAGTGTATCCAGAATCTGACCTCTTCCCCTGCCTCACTAACCTCCAACCTCTGCCCTCGCCTCCTTACAGTGTGTTCTCAGTACAGTAGCCAGATTGATCCTGGCAGAAAAGCTAAACAAGAGCATGTCCTGGCTGTGCTCAGCACCTTGCAGAGTGAAAAAAGCAGTGATCCCTGCAGTGGCTTTCAGGGCCCTCCATGATCACTGACCTCACCTCCTTCTCTATGCCTCCTTCCTGTCTCTGCTGTGCCCTCACTGGAGGCCACCCTTCCCTGTTCCTTGAAGGCCCCAAGCAGGCTCTTGCCTCGGGACTGTTGCACATGCTGTTCCTTCTGCCTGGAAAGCTCTTCCACCACATGACTCCTTCTCCTGCAAGGATTGCCCCAAAGTCATAGTCTCTATGAGGCCTACTCTCTCCAGCACTCCCACCCTCAACTCAGCCTGCCAAAAGTATTCCATTTTCTCCAGCACTCCTCACTTTTAACATAGTTTGTGATTCCTCTGTTGTTTCTCTCTCCCCACTAGAATGGATGCACCATACTGGAACAGATGTTTGTCTTTCTGGCCAAAGACATATCTATCCCCAGTGCCTAGAAAAGTGCCTGGCATGCACAGGTCCTCAGTAAGGGGTTACATGAATCAGTGAATGAATGAATGATTTATGTATCATCGCCATCAAAACATCAAAATACTCTAGCCAGAAAAGGAGAGAGCGCACTAATTTTTAAACTCTAAAACATTTAAATATACATTAAGGAGAAAATAATTAAATGCTTATGCTAAAACACTGCAGAATAGCTGAAAAAGTGTAAACATTTAGGTGTTTGACCTACAAATCAAAATCCCAGCTAAATATGCTGATGGCCAGGCGCGGTGGCTCATGCCTGTAATCTCAGCACTTTGGCAGGTTGAGGTGGGTGGATTGCTTAAGCCTAAGAGTTCAAGACCAACCTGGGCAATGTAGTGAGACCCTGTCTCTATTTTTCATACGTGTGTGTGTATGTGTAAATAAAAATAGACAAGTATCGTATTTGGTTAATACTTTGTTGTGCTGTTTTTGTTTTGTAAAAGCGCCAAAGAGATGGATGAGACTGTTGCTGAGTTCATCAAGAGGACCATCTTGAAAATCCCCCTGAATGAACTGACAACAATCCTGAAGGCCTGGGATTTTTTGTCTGAAAATCAACTGCAGACTGTAAATTTCCGGCAGAGAAAGGAATCTGTAGTTCAGCACTTGATCCATCTGTGTGAGGTAACAGTGTTAGAAATGATGAGTCTTGAACAGAGTGATACCCCTTTGGGTTTTTCTTTCTTCTATTCCTTACCCCAAAAGAGATGTAAGGTAGCTGCTAAACTATTAGTGAAGTGATGAGGTCTATATACAGCTGCAGTGGAAAAAAACCTAATTTTTAATTGACCTTTTCATCTTAAAAGAATGCTTTACAAATCAATAAGATGGAAAAAGTAAATATCATAGGAGAAGAAAAAACAGTACAAATTAAAATAACAAGCAGTGTTTTTTGCAGTATTTTTTTAAACCTATCAAATTATCAAGGATGAAAAGACAACAACACCCAAATGTATTGGCAGAGTTGTAAGGAAAGAGACTCTGTCTTTCATGTGTGTTTATCGACTTAATTGCTTATTGTTTTAAAATGTTTTAGTTGCAAATATAGTTCAAATAATTTTCTTATTCCAATATACCCATCCCCCTTCACTTCTATTTATTTATTTGTTTGTTTATTTTTGAGACAGTCTTACTCTGTCATCCGGGCCAGAGTGCAATGGCACAATCTCAGCTTACTGCAACCTCTGCCTCCCAGGTTCTAGCGATTCTAGTGCCTCAGCCTCCTGAGTAGCTGGGACTACAGGCACGCACCACCACACTGGCTAATTTTTGTATTTTCAGTAGAGACGAGGTTTTGCCATCTTGGTCAGGTTGGTGTCGAACTCCTGACCTCAGGTGATCCGCTCACCTTGGCCTTCCAAAGTGCTGGGATTACAGGTGTGAGCCACCATGCCTGGCCTCCTTCACTTTTAAATAAATATACTTTTTGACCTAGCAATTCTACTTACAGAAATTTATGATGAGAAAATAATAAAAAATGAGGTATGTATAAATATTATAATTGATAAATATTTAGTTATATAAATCAAGATGCATTGTAGCATGTTTTAAAAACAAAACACGTTCACATAAAGATGTGTGTACTAATGTTCACAGCAACATTATTCATAAAAGCCACAAACTGGAAACAACCCAAATGTCCATCAGCAGGTAAACAGATGAACAGATTGTGATGTATCCATACAGTGGATATACTCAGCAATAAAAAGGAATGAAGTATTCATAGATGCTAACATATGGATGGATATGAAAATAATTGTGCTGAGTAAAAGCCAGACCAAAAAATGAGTACATACTTATGTTAACATTCATAAAAACCTCTAGAAAATGTAAACAAATCTGTAATGACAGAAAGCAGATCAGCGTTTGCCTTAGGACTAAGGCTTGGGAGGTAGAAACATGGGAACCAAGAAGAGTGGAAGGAAGTGGGCGGTGATAAGAAAGGGACACAAGATTGGACTCAGTGGCTCCTGCCTGGAATCCCAGCACTTTGGAAGGCCAAGGCAGGCAGATCATTTGGGGTTAGGAGACCAGCTGGCCAACATGGAGAAACCCCTTCTCTACTAAAGATACAAAAATTAGCTGGGCATGGTGGCACACGCCTGTAGTCCCAACTCCTCAGGAGGCTGAGGCAGGAGCATCACTTGAACCTGGGAGACAAAGGTTGCAGTGAGCTAAGAGTGCACCTTTGTACTCCTGCCTGGGCAATAGAGCAAGACTCTGTCTCAAAAAAAAAAAAGAGACACGAGAAAATTTGGGAGGCAGTGCTGGTGGATATTGTCACTGCCTTGATTGTGGTAATGGTTTTGTGTGTATATTCGTAAGTCAAAATGTATCAAATTGTATACTTTAAATATATTTAAAATATATATTTAAACAGTTTAATGGATGATAATTATACTTCAATAAAGTTAATTTTGTAAAAATCAAGAAGTTAACAGTGATGAATGAGGAATAAATTGTGAGAGAAGGTTGTGAATGCCGGGACTAAGACATGAATCAGTCAGAATGTCCATTGGTTAACAGGAGAACAGATTGGAGACAGTTTGTCAGTAAAGTACTGAGAATGTACAAATAGTCTGTTCTAACCAATCCTAAAATGTGTTTTAAATGGGATAGAACCAAATCTATCACCACGGTTACTAAATAATTTGTTTTCTCTTTTAGGAAAAGCGTGCAAGTCTCAATGACGCTGCCCTGTTAGACATCATTTGTAAGTTTTAGTGATTGGCATTTACACTTAACTGATCAGTTTCATCAGAGGCAATTTTGTCGCCCAGGCTGGAGTGCTTTAACGTCATCTCAGCTCACCGCGACCTCTGCCTCCTGGATTCAAGTAATCCTCCAACCTCAGCCTCCCAAGTAGCTGGGGCTGTAGGAGTACACCACTATGTATGGCTAATTTTTTGTATTTTTTGCCACGAGGTTTTGCCATGTTGCCCAGGCTGGTCTCCAGCTCCTGGGCTCAAGTGTTCCTCCTTCCTCAGCCTCCCAAAGTGCTGGGATTATAGGGGTGAACCGCTGTACTTGTCCCAGAAGCAATTTTGTATCTAAGGCCTCAGATTCTAGAGTCGAGGAGACCTTGTTTCAAATCCCAGTATGTCACTCAACCATATGTTGTTTGACAAGTTGCATCACCTTTCTGAGCCTCAGACTTCAAGCAGAGATAATAGTACAGTATCTACTTCACAAGATTCTTGTTAGGATTAAATGAGGTAGAGCCTGAGAAGCTGTTAGCATGGTAACTAGCATAAAGTAAATGTTAGGCTTTGTATTACTCAGGTTGCCAACTTACAACAGCTCAACTTAGAATTTTTCAACCAGTATGAAAGCAGCAGACATTCAACAGAAACCATACTTTGAGTTCCCATATGACCATTCTTTTCTCACTTTCATACAGTATTTAGTAAATTACATGAAGTATGCAACAGTTTATGATAGAAGACTCTTGGATGATTTTGCTCAACTGTAGGCTATAAGTGCTCTGAGCACACATAAAGTAGGCTAGGCTAAGCTAAGATATAAAGGTTAGGTGAATTATTTTCACCTCAAGGTGGATTTATCAGGCATAGCCCCATCATAAGTCAAGAAGAATCTACTATTACTATAGGATTTGAAAATAACTTTCTGAAAATTTGTTCCTATTACAGTATAGCTTCTCACCTCTCCTCCCTTCCATTTCATTGATTTTTGTTTAGCTTGCCTGTCTGTACTTTTTCAAGATGTCTGTTTTTTTAATCAGAAGGCAGCATAATGTAGGGGCTGAGAACACAGGCCCTGGGGCCAGATTTCTTGGGTTCATTTCATGGCTCCATTACTGCCTCCCTGTGAGCCCTGTAGGAAGTTGGTTAACATCTCTGTGGCATACCAACATCTCTGGTATTATCATTTGACCCATCTGTATAATAGTGATAATATCACACAAGGTTATGGTGAGAATTAAATAAGAGTACAAGTTAAATACTTAGAGCCTGGTATTAACTAACTGCAGTCATTATGTATTAGCTGTTTTCTGTAAGTGTAACAGAAATTATCTTTAGTAATACTTTGCTCCAACTCATGGCATGCTCCAATTCATGCTATTGCTGAATTTAGAGCATCTGCCTCTGATTTAGTTTATCTCATTTTCAGTGGTTGGATTCTCTCAGGCATAAAAAGTGGATCCACACCATTCCCATTTCTCATACATTCATTCAAAAATTCATTAAGCACCTGGCTAGACACAGTGGCTCACACCAGCACTTTAGGAGACCAAGGCAGGTGGATCACCTGAGGTCAGAAGTTGGAGACCAGCCTGGCCACTATGGTGAAACCCCATCTCTACTAAAAATACAAAAAATTAGCCAGGCATGGTGGCAGGTGCCTGTATCTGCTACTCGGGAGGCTGAGGCAGGAGAATCGCTTGAACCCAGGAGACAAGAGGTTGCAGTGAGTCAAGATCGCACCACTGCACTCCAGCCTGGCGACACCAGGAGATTCTGTCTCAAAAAAAAAAAAAAGAAAAGAAAGAAAAAGAAAAGAAAACCTGGTCTGAGGTCCAGAGACACAGACAGGTCAGGGCAGAGAGTTTTAAGCCAGAAGGATGAAGGGATATGGTTGAACTTGCTAACTTCCTAGATCATTTCTACTCCAAGATACTCCAAGTGTGTAACTCCTGAAAGGTGTTTTCTGTCATATACTTAGTCATTCATTCGTTCATCAAACATATACGGAAGCCTGTTGTGGTGTGGGACACCTGGGAGGCTGAGGCAGGAGGATCACTTGAGCCACGAATTCAAGTCTAGCCTAGTTAACATAGTGAGACCCTGTCTCTTAGAAAAACAAAACAAATACTGAGTGCTTGCTTTATGCCACACAATTTAGACCCGGGACTACAACAGTGAACAAGTCCCTCATTTCCATCAGAGTCTAATTGGCAAGACAGGCAGTGTACAAATGAACATCTAAATAAATAATGTGGCCGGGCACAGTGGCTCATGCCTGTAATCCCAGCACTTTGGGAGGCCGGGGCGGGGGTAGGATCACCTTGAGGTCAGGAGTTGGGGACCAGCCTGGTGCAACATGGTGAAACCCCATCTTACTAAAAATACAAAATTAGCCGGTTGTTGTGGCAGGGGTGTTGTCATCCAGTCTCGGGAGGCTGAACAGGGGAGAATCACTTGAACCTGGGAGGCGGAGTGGCAGGAGCTGAGATTGCCACCATGCACATCCATGCCTGGGCAACAAAAGAGTGAAACTCTGTCTCAAAAAATAATAATAATAATACATACATAATGTGACGTCAGGTAGTGATGAGGTCCTCCAACGGGAACTGGGAACTAACGCAGAGCGTTTGGGGGTAGGTGATCACGGTAGGGACTACTCTGAGTAGAGAGCAGAATAGAGGTAGGAGTGGGGTTAAGGAGCTAGTGAAAAGAGCTGGCAGGCAGAGGAACAGCTGTGCTCAAATAGTGGTCTGTGGGGCCAGCACTTCCCTGTCAGTGGCCAGATTAATGTGATATTCTGTGGGCAGGCTAATGTGAAATAGAATAAATGGCTAACAAGAATAAAATACCAAAACTGAACTGTATCATCTAAGCGTCGGTTGAATTGATAATTATGATTTGCTTATTTATATGGAAGTAAATTTAATCCATATAAGTTTATATTTTGAACACAAAATTCTGTATAATCCAATCTTATGGACATTACTGTTTTCCCCAGGTTTTTATCAGTATAGAAGTATCTA